TTCTTTTAGGCTTTGATTTTACAAATTGAGCTTTGAATCATGTTAAACTATGAGTTTTGAAGTGTTTTCTAGAAAATGAGCCCAAGAGGATCGAATTTGGTGTTTGAAACTTGATTTTGAGCTTGAAGTTCGAATCTGGGAATTCCAGATTTTGAACTCACGCTCGAGCGGGGTGACTGGCGCTCGAGCGTGGAAATCGTGCTCCCAGCATTTTGTTCTGTTTTTAAGTCAGCTCGAGCGGGACCTTGTGTCTTACGCTCGAGCAGATGTCGAGCGCTCAATCGAGCGTGGATTTCACCTATCTAGCACTTTTGACTGTTTTGCATTACGCTCGAGCGGTTAAGTCGCGCTCGAGCGGAAACCTTTGTCTGCATGTCCGCTCGAGCGGATTAACCTACGCTCGAGCGGGACCCCTATTTTTTGAAAATTCTGAAAATACTTTTAAAGTGCATCTTTGCATCCTTATTTCATCCTAGGCATTCTTAGGCCTAGTTTAAGGCATCTTAATGAGGATATAGATGTAGGACACACCGAGGCAAATTAGGGATTAAGTTTTTATCTTTCCCAACTGTGTAGCTTAGTGTGTGTTCAATCTGTAAACTGTGTAGGGTTGGCGACTGGGGACGCGCTCTAGCTTTACTGTAGCCCAGAACTCTATGAGTAACAACTGTGTAAAGATATGTTCAAAAATGATTATCTTCTGAACAATTGAACTGTACTGTTTCTGAATTGATACTGCTAATAGAATGAATGTATGTCCTCTATTCTGAACTGTATTGTGGCATCCTTAGCAACTACTGTTACTGACTGTTACTGTTATAGAGATCTCTGTCGGTTCCCTTGTTGGAACCACTACTGTTTACTGATTGATGGCCATCATTGACTGTTCGGTCTTTCAAGACCTACTGTTTACTGTACTGTTATGCTAATGGATGTACCACATATGACTGTATTGGCTGAACAACTGAAATACTGATTTAATGAACTGTTTTCATTACTGTAAGGACATTCATTCTTAACCTCTTTATGCATTATGTTATTCACTGGGCTTTAGCTCACTGCTCATATATATATGTAGGTGTACAGGCACCAGACCGCGGCTAGAAGCGTCGGGGTTAAGCTCCAGTTTTGTCAAGCCAACCTATGTGCCTCACTGCGAGGTTCCGAGCCTGTCAAACTAAGGCTATGGGGTGTTTTAGTTTTCCCCCTTCTGTTCTGTTTTGTAAACTGTAGACTGTTACCGTACTGTTTAATAGGGATTAGGTCCCTGAACTGAATGATTGTATATATGTACATACTGTTTTGTCACTGACTGCATATATGTATGAAAAAGTCTTTTGCATACAGACTGTCACAGCTCATTGGATATTGTTTGTTTACTGTTTTGGCTTCCGCCAGGCCCCTGTACTCTGTTTTACTGTATTACTGTTAAGCAGGCCTTCGGTAATCTCGGATTACTGGCCGGTTACGGTGCTAAACCCATAGGGGCGAGTTTGGGTCGTGACAGGGTGCCAAGTCTTTGTCCTCTAGTTTCAGTTGTTTGAAGGTTTCGTAATACATTATCTCACATGAGCTCCCTTGGTCAATCAAAATTCGTTTGATATCGTAATCCTTGACGCGGAGAGTGACGACCAGTGCATCATTGTGAGGGCAATATATCCTTGCCAAGTCTCTTTCTGAAAAAGATATGACGTTTGTGGCCTCTGTTCTCCCATTTTTAATGGTAGATTATGCACTTAATAGCTCCCTTAAACCTTCTTGATCATTTCCCTAAGCTCACATACTCGCTCAGGTTCGAATACCCCATGTATTACGTTTATCACGTCTTGAGGTAGGGCATCGATCGGCATTTCGTCTGGGTGGTCGTGGTTCTGGGGGGGCTGGCTGTGTCCTTCCTTCTATGTATTTGTCCAAGTGCCCAGCTGCCACAAACTCCTCCAGGTGTTGTCTCAACGGCCTGCAATTCTCTGTACGGTGCCCCTTTTCATTATGGAAGGTACACTGAGATCCTCCGTCATAGTCTTTTTGTGCTTCTCCCAGCTTAGCTGACCATCGGACGAAAGGCTCATCGCGTATCTCACTGAGAATTTTGTAGATTGGTTTTTTGAACACCGTGGTAATGGCAGTGTGGACTCTTAGCCACCTTTTGTCTGAGTCCTCTTTGTTGGCCCACCTGCCTTGCCCATTCTTGCTTGGGCGTTCTATGACTTTTGCCGTAGTCTTTTTATCTGGCGTTGACAACTTCGTCTGTTTGGATGACGTCTGGTGTGCGCGCGATGGCCGATAGGTGCTTCCCTCAGTATAAGAACTCAATGTTCTCGTTCTCTCAGACCTGGAGTAACGAGTCCTGGAAGTCCTTGATTGAGTGTCACCTGTTCTGAGGCTCCTACTCTCTGCTTGCGATGGCGTGGTATGCCTACCACGATCTTCTGAGCGGCGAGGGGGCGTGTTGCTTTTGTGCCCCTCTCCTGTCGCCACCCCTTTTTCTTTGATCTGGCATTTCATAGCCTTCATGTCCGCCGCCATCTTCCTTATTAACTCGTCTTGTTCCTCTACGCGATCCTCCAGAACTTGAGTATCGATCCTCCGCCTCTGTCTTTCTGGACTTTGAGAGCGACGAGGGCTGTTAGTCCGCCTCCCCCTTGCATCCCTCCGGGGGTTCTGTCGCTGGGGCTCTAAATTCGCCATGGAAGGGATAGAAGGCAAACCTTCGCGCCTCCCACCCCCTCTGGGGTTGTCCGTCGATGACGGACTGCGGCAAATCTTCATTGTGCGCCATTACTTCTAATTAGAGAGGAAAAGCTTGATCAAAAGGTTTTGTTCTTTCTGGTCTTCCCACAGACGGCGCCAATTGTACGAGCACGAAATATTCTTCTCGTATAATCCTGTTGATCAAGTCTGCGCTCCTCCGTACGTCGTCGCTTTACTCCCTGAAAACGCAAACGTGAGCTAGCCGGCGGGTGTGTGCCGGATACCTCTCCGATGCCTAAGTCAGCAAAATACACAAATAGACAAAAGCTCTGTGTATTCGGGAATCAAAGTTGTGTTACCTCTTCCATAGGTTATGCTGTAAGCTTTTATAAGTTCCGTGTGGCACAATCCTAGTAGGACTCTTATTCCTCCATGTAGAGTCCTCCTAGGAATCACTCTCCTGAAAGGTAATACTTATCTTTCAACACCCTCCTCACTACTTAAACCAAGTGAGATGGTTTTACTTCGGTAGTATGACAAAACAACCGAGATAACATAGCCATGCTAAACTGGCAGACACGACCGAGTTTTAACTATCTCGGCTCTTCCTTTTACAGCTTGTATCTCGGTTTCACTTCTTGAGACCGCGCTATCCATAGCGTGCTTAGACCGAGCTATTCAATAGCAAGGTTCTGAGAAAAAGTCCAAAATACCCCGGTCCTTAGTGGTATGACCGAGCTAACTGCTACTGCTCAGACCGCAGTGACCGAGCTAACTACAAAGCTCTTTCTGGACCGGCCTAATTACAAAACTCTTTTACTTAGCCCTTTTTACTGTGGCCCACAAAACGGCCTATCACTCCGCTCGGCCCAATTTACATATAAATTACACTATCAGTGAAGTTAAGATCAATTGCGATTCAAGTTTAAATCATGCACATCTGAATGCATTTGCAGTTGCTATTATGCGTGACTTAAAATGAAGGCTTTTGGACGGTTTGGTTTCATCTTTCTCAGCGTCCTTTGCTTTATAAGCAAAAGCTCATGCAATCCATCTGGCTGTTATTTAGCTCAAGCACATAATGCCTCAATGGTTGAGATTAAAAGTGATAATCAAGCTCTGTGTACCACCCTAGGTGATTGAAGATGTGCCACCTTAGGAGTGTATGGCAGTGGTGCTTGACATTCATAGTCTCCCAAAGCTGAGGCAATGGAATTTTGGATGGACCTGATGAGCAAACAATAGGATTACGTACTGGGTCGCTAATTCCTATGCTGGAAAAAGGGCTTCCTGCTAATTGGGTAGACTATTCACCTTTAGCCTTTATTTACGTGTTTATAGTGATGTATCTAGTCCGATGCTTTAATATATATAAAGCTTCATCTGTTCAAAAAAACAAAAAAGAAAAGGAAAACAAAAAAAGATGTGATAAAGGTTGGCAATAAAAGGGTGGTGAAAGTTTGGGGGTGAATTTGTAGAGTAGAGAGCGTTTAGATTTTGGGTTTTGAATGTTGGAAGATTTTAAATTTCAGGTTAATAAAAAATAATTTTGAAAGTAAATTATAAATATTAGGGAAAGTAAGAAAAATATAATTTAGAAGTCAAATTCAAAAAATTATAAAATTTAAAGAGACGAGCAATTTACTCATTTTAAATTGGTTTGGAAAGTTGGTTATTCTCTTTATTTTTTTTTAACTATTTTAGCCTGACTAAAAAAATTGTGTTTGGAATAATAATTAACTTTTTTTTTTGTTGTTGATTTGATAGTTTTGAAAAAAAAAAATTAAATGATTATGTTTAAATATGATCACTACTACAAATATAGATAAAGATCACACTTTTTTGGTGTGATGTATGTTTTTTAATCACACCTTTTAAATTTTATTAAAGTGTGGTCTTTAGGAGTGTGATTAAAAATGGTCATTTTTAATCACACTTTTTAAGTGTCATTAAAAAATGCTTTCATCACACATTTTAAGTGTGATTAATAATATTTAGATCACACATTTTAAGTGTGATTAAAAAAATTTAAATCACACCTTTTAAGTGTGATTAAAAATATTTCGATCACACCTTCTAAGTGTGATTAAAAACATTTAGATCATACCTTTTAAGTGTGATTAAAAACATTTAAAAACATTTAGATCACACCTTTTAAGTGTGATCTTTGGAAGTGTGATTAAAAAGAGTCATTTTTAATCACACTTAAAAAGTGTGATTAATAACATTTAGATCACACCTTTTAAGTGTGATCTTTGGAAGTGTGATTAAAAAGAGTCATTTTTAATCACAAGAGAGAGAGAGAGAGAGAATAAAATAATTTGGAATATAATGATAAAAAAATATATATATAAATTTATGCCTATTCTCATCCTTCAGACTTTGAAAATTAGTGTTGCATTGCATTTTGTTGTAAAAAAATAATTAAATATTCATATACATAACATATAATAATTGCTTACACTATATATAATATATAATAAATATTCAAATCTATATATTTTTGTGTGTCATCCACGTGTCATGTCCGACATTGTCTGATAATATTCCTGTCGACACATCTGTGTAGTGTTTATGCCGTGCTTCTTAGCCTATGAAGCATGGACACCGCTATGGTGGTCACGATGTCGGACACTTGTTAGACATGAACATGCCCTGAACACATGTCGGATAAGCTGGAGGAATTGGACACATTAGACGTGGGGACACAAAACAAACATCTTAACATGAAACATCATAGGTATTAAATTTGTTTCAAAGACAGTTTGAAGTGCACATATGCATCAGCATTGCCAAACTTCTCATTTACACAACTTCCTAACTTGAAGTTTATTTTGTTCCAAAATGAGTTCTTTAAGCCACGGTCAAATCCCCAAGATAAGTAGTAGCACCCAATAACATATCTACCTAAGGCCCAATGACGCCATCCCTTTTATGATCTCATCGACAGACAAAGCTTGATTTCAAATCTAATAAATTCTAGGTATTTCAAATGCATAAATTCATAGAAGTGAAAAGGGAAAAGAAAAATGAAAACAGAATTGTAATGGAATGACTTATAAATGAATTTGATACTTAGATACTTCAGAGAGAGAGATGAAAATAAAAATAAAGATTGACTGTACAAATAACCTTGGAGTTGTAGAAACATTATGTTAATAAATTTGATGGGACAAGTCACAAGAGGATCAAGAAGCAACAGCCTTCATTCAACTTCCAGCAATTACCGTGAGCCAAAGAGAGAGAATCATTTTTAGATAATACTTGCCACACCATCATAGTAAAGTTGAGAAATGAGAAGCAAAACTCTCTAATATTTTTACAGTGTAAAATATCAAACCTAAGACTTTGACTTCGAAGACCAACAACTCTCTCAAACCCTTATTTACATTCTAAAAGTTAACTCTTAATCAAGATACATATTCACCTGCATATCCTGAGGATCAAGATTAGATATATACTCTTGTATACCATAATCTCCTCGAGTTTCCATCATTTCAAGAACATCAAAAAAATTTGATGAATCTTGGAAAATTTTATTCAATGCAAACACATTGTGGTTAGTAGGTGTTACTAGTGAAAAAGAACATGCAGAGTCAGGGAATTATTCATCGTAACATATCTATAGAGTTGTGGGTGTTGATATTGTTCCTACAGATCTACAAGGGCGGCTTCCTCTTCTAGAGCCTTTTACTAATTTAATTTATCTTGTCAAAAGATTAAAAGAAAAAGAAATGAATTTTTTTTGGATACTCATGAAAATTAATAACATTACCAAATGCAGATTATACTAAAATTCTTAGGAAAAATTTCTACAGATTGCAGCAACACTTATGTCCACTAAATGGAAGAAGAAATGGGAAGTATTAGTGTACGCACCATCACTGAGGACCAGAACTAGATCGCTGTCAATAACAGTTGGGATACGATGAGCAATAGTGCACACAGTGCAGTCCCTAAACTCTGTTCAGATGATCTTCTGGATAAGATTATCTGTAGGTGAATCAATTGAAGCAATGGCTTCATCAAGAACCAAAATTCTTACTTGAGGTGACTAGAGAACTGATTGATTTAGTTGACATTAAATTGGCTATCTAAGAAGCACGGTTTTCACATCAATTTCCCATCAATTTTTCATGTTATAATTGTTCAAGTAGTGCAATATTTCAATAATCAAGGGCATCTGGTTCTATTACTACATCCTTGCTATAAAGTTGGAATATACACTACTCTCGACATCCAAAGTCCAACTCGATATCTATCTCCATTATTTCTATATCCAGCAAAAAAAGGGAGGAAAAAAAACTACCAAAAAAAAAAACAATTGTCAAACCCCAACTTAGTTGACTGACTACACTTTCCTAGTCCCCAAATTTTGTAAGATACAGATACCTAATTACAATCCTGAAAGAGGAAGAATGCAGTTAAGACCTACACTTATATATAGTTTATATATAGCATACACAGCTCAATGTTATGCATATTTGTCAACAAACCCATTAAAACGGATAGGCAAAATCCTGTCCTAAAAAGTAATGATAACCTCCCTTAAAATTCTTACCAGACAAAACTGGTAGACACAATGCATAATATGAATAAAGATTCATACTAGACCAAAAATACCAAATCCCAGTTTATTAATACACCTCGACACAAATCATGAGAAGGAAGAATAAACTTGACAAGTGTGGCAATACGACGACATGACTGACTTTCAGACACCCATAATGAGCATAGCTGGATGACGCCGACTCTGGACCTTTCTCAACCCACAAACATTTCCTATAGAACTCACTGAAAAATTAGACAATTGCAAAATTAATAAATGCTCAAGGAGGTAGAAGCAGCAAATATCAAAATAGGAAAATCACAGATGCAACCACTACAAGATCTAACCAAGACGAGCAAGAGGGGAAAATAGTAGTTCCACCAAAAGATCATTAACTAAAGATATATCGTGAACTTTAATACTTTTTTTGTTTGTGCTATACACATAGATGGTTAACAATCTTAATGGAAATTTCAAGCAACAAATGGATATAGTAAGTAAATGTATCTCATGACAGACCTGATCGTTTTCATCTGCTGGTTCTGAAGGGGATTTTTGTCCCTCAGATGGTTTATCGGCCCCACAGTTTTGTCTGTTACATTTGGTCCTAAAAGGGTAGTTTATGTTATTGCATTTCTCACACTTCCAGCTCCCATCGAGCATCTTATGTTCTGAAAGACGAGTTCTATAAGTATCGTGCTAAGAAATTGCAGCCAACCACAAGGAAGGTTTAAAAGGACTTACTAGAATTGGAATCAGATTTCGCAGCCTGCATATTCAACAAAGTAATGTTCGAAGACACAGAGATACAAGTTAGTACATAAAGAGATAGCATCAAGTCAAATCATTGGTCAGAAGTTCAAAAATAGCCTAGATATGGCAAAATCTGCACCTTTCTTTTGATATTTATCATTTGGAAAAAATCCAGGCCTTGGGCCCGACAGAAAAAAATTCAGTCATGAGCTCGCTCCACCAAACATCTAATACAAGAAAATATACTAAGAGGTGAGAGCGCTTTCAATAATTCATGTACTAAAACAAATAATGGGAACCTAGGTAGAGAAGGAGAGGAGTTCAGAGAAAATTTTCCCAAACCATCACATAGAGAAAGAGTAAGGTTTTGAAAATATTTGTGAACTTAAACATGATTATGCGGGCATCATGTACGTTATTCTGTAGTACTATGCTTCCTTGCAAATAAATTAATTAGTAAACAGCTCTAGACATGGGCATTTTGCACATACCATGTCAGCATGGCCCATGGCCATACCCATACCCAAGCCATAGCAGTCCATCAGGGGTGGCATACCGTACATCCTGCCTAAAACAAACAAAAATAACAATAAATAAAAACACAACCTCATAAATGCTACACCAAAACAAAAGCCAAATGCAAATCAAAAAAAAGAAAAAAAGAAAAAAAAAGAGACCAAATGGGCATCAGCTGAAGATACTGAATAAGTAAGACTGTAGAATGCACCAGCCTTCAAGAATCATAAGCCGATTATCATATCTTTATATGCTCAATAAACCGTAAAAAATTTCTAATACTAAAAATCACCTTTTTCTCACGTATGTGGGTGGATGGGTATAGGGGTGCAGGTTTTTCTAAATAAAATAAACTACATTAAAAATCTCTATTTACCAAAAAGCATACATAACTAATCACAGGCCTACACCAATATAGAGCTCTCCTATGAAGCCTATAAAAAGAGATAAAGATTCACAAAAGTTACCTCTAAGGAAAAAAGTAGAGTAGATAAAGGGATACATAATGACAGAATAGTTAACCAGTAAGGGGAATAAAAAAGGTAATTAGAAACTGATACAACGAAAACAGGCTTTATAGAATTTATTTATTTATTTATTTTTTAAATCATGCAACCAATAAGAAGCACAAGAGAAACACATACCATTTCCTATCATAGATCCACTAGAATAAGGTGTTGGACAAGCTCTATGCAGGGGTCTATACGGGCTGCCTCCAGAAAGGCGGCTGCCGTAGTTGTAATGATAGGCAGAACCCCCAGAAAATGGAACATCGTAAGGAGACATAGATGATCCATTGAAGAGAGAAGATCCATAAGGTGGCACACCCATATACATCGAGGAGGGTGCACCAGAGCCTATATAGGGAGCTGAGGATGAGTAGACATGCATGGGTTGTATGGGTTTTGCAGCAGATTTCTGAAAGATAAGAAGAAAAAAAAAAATGGTTTAAAGAATTCAATAATATAGTAGACAGAAAAAATAAATTAGCTGCAAAACACCACCGAACCATGAAACATGTTGATCAATCATGATAAAGCAAAATGAAGATGGCAAGCAAGGATGATGTGATGAAAGTACATACAGACTAAAGAGCTGATAAAATGAAAACTTCGAGCAGACAGGACATTAATGAGAATTAAAGCAACCAACAAGCCATATAAAACTAAAAGACCTCATAAATACGTTCAGGGTAATGTTCACACATATAATTAAAATGTCTGCCATTGTGACTTAAAAGAGAACTTTTAATCTTACAAAGACCACTGTGAAAGCATTAAGTTGCCTATTAAATAACAGATCTGGATAAATATGCAAAATTAAAGTACTTATCAAAAATGGCACATGCATATTATAACATGAATCTCTACACAACTCCTATAAGGAACTTTAAGTGAGTTAACTGATTCATGGGTGGTTAATATCACATCGAATTTCAGATCTTACTGAGTTGTAATCTGCTGGCCTCGATTGAGTACGGTTGTGCATATTGCAAGTCGTCCTAAATGAAAATTTGACATTTCCACAGCTAGGGCACGTCCAGTCATCTTCCTTGCGACTGCCTACAAACATAAAGGAATTAACAAATGGGTCGCAATCATAACTTCTGAAATGAGATATATCAGAGCCAATTATTGATATAAGGAGTAAAAAAAATTTGATAATTATTCCATCTTTCAGGAGTCAATTTCACAAAGCATGATAACAAGCACCACATGGACCTAAGCAAAAAACATGAAAAGATTATGTGCACAAACAAAGCTTTTACTTGCGTTTGGATCAGCATCAAAACATCAATTAGAACACATCAATTGTTTTGTTAATAAAACAATTAAAAGCTACAATTATTCACTAATTTCCAACACCAAATCACATCATGTCTTAATAGATTTAGAAACGTGAGAAATTAAAAATTAGTGAACAAATTCATTACCTCTTGGCATATCTCTGCCCACTATCCAAAATTCTTGAAACAAATTCCCCCAACCCCCCCTCCAAAAAGAGAAATTATATCAACTTAGCAGTACAAAGGGGAGAACACATATATCTATACATCATTTAGCACATATGGATACATATATGCATACAAAGGGGAGAACACATAATTTATTTGTTAATTTCTATAAGGCTGAACCCATAAGTGGTGGTTATAAGAGCAATGTTTTGTGTATTTTCGTACTAAACATGTATTTAATGTCAACATATATAACCTCTTTGTCTCTGCTGAAAGAGCAGCAACAAACTGTCAACTCTGCTTCCAGGCACCTTGATAGGATTTCCACATCAATGCAGCATGCTTCATCTGAAATAAAAAATTAAAAAAAAAATAAATAAATAAACAACTTAAAAAGACAATCAATGGATTCAACTGCATAAAATCAAAGTGGTATTCAGTCTACACATGATTCTGTGTCTACACATGATTCTAACTACATTTTTGAACAAAAAGGGGGAATAATAATAATAGGACCACCCATGTGTAGCAGCTTGAAAAACAAGGAAACTCAGAAAACATACCAAGATGCAAGTTTATCAATTTACATGGGAACTACACCAAAATGATTATTAGAAGAGTTAGAAAGCAAGAAATGCCAAAATGAGATTCCAAAAAAAGGAAAAATAATGGACTAGAGAGAGACAAAGCAGATCTGATATTACCATGTTAGCAGATTGTAGAGAGAGAGAGAGAGAGAGAGAGAACAGATCTGATCGAAGAGAGAGCAGATCTGCATCTCTTCATCGTTGAGCTTCTACTCACTGTTTCCAATGATCCACATGCTAATTCAACATAATGTGGTACTTACACGTATCATACTGACTGCACCAGAAACATGATTCTGCATTTTCACCTGAGTATCACTCAGATGATCTGGTAAAAAGCATCCTGACCATTGCCATCCAGGTTTGTTGAAACGAATTGAAACTAGTAATTCCCTATGACCTGTTAAACCACAAGAAACCAAGTAAGAAAAATAATAGAAAAGAAAACATTATTATAAGAAAAGGCTTCCATATCTCTGTAAATTTTAAAGAAAAAAGAAATTTGCTAAAGATAAACATTTTTCATCTACCTAGTTGAGAGCTAAAAGAAGTGACAATATGAACATTTATGATATAGTCAGCCAAGCAGACAAAGTTGAATTTGACCATGAAATTTCATCTTTAGACCTTCCTCACTCACTCTGTTTTACAACCACCACATGCTTACGAAGTGGTTTTTAGGTCTGGAGCTTAAGCATTTTTCCAACAATCCCCACCTATTTATTAATGCAAAGCTTTAAAAAAAGAAAGAATAGAGAACTTGAAAAAAGAGAATGTATCAAGTGGTTACAAATACACAGGCTGACTTCATGGAGAATAACATTAGATAATGAGGAGAAAGGACACTATTAGCTAAGTCCAGGCAAATGGATTTGAGTTTCATTGCTAAACTTTTTAATAGATCAGAGATGTAGACTAAGAAGCACAGACACTTCTAAGAAGGTGAAGTATCCGTGTCGTGTCCGTGTCGGACACCGACACTCTTTGGACAATCAAAAAAAAAAAAGAAAGAAAAAAAAGAGACCAAATGGGCATCAGCTGAAGATACTGAATAAGTAAGACTGTAGAATGCACCAGCCTTCAAGAATCATAAGCCGATTATCATATCTTTATATGCTCAATAAACCGTAAAAAATTTCTAATACTACAAATCACCTTTTTCTCACGTATGTGGGTGGATGGGTATAGGGGTGCAGGTTTTTCTAAATAAAATAAACTACATTAAAAATCTCTATTTACCAAAAAGCATACATAACTAATCACAGGCCTACACCAATACAGAGCTATGAAGCCTATAAAAAGAGATAAAGATTCACAAAAGTTACCTCTAAGGAAAAAAGTAGAGTAGATAAAGGGATGCATAATGACAGAATAGTTAACCAGGTAAGGGGAATAAAAAAGGTAATTAGAAATTGATACAACAAAAACAGGCTTTATAGAATTTTTATTTATTTCTTTTTTTTAAAATCATGCAACCAATAAGAAGCACAAGAGAAACACGTACCATTTCCCATCACAGATCCACTAGAATAAGGTGTTGGACAAGCTATATGCAGGGGTCTATACGGGCTGCCTCCAGAAAGGCGGCTGCCGTAGTTGTAAGGATAGGCAGAACCCCCAGAAAATGGAACATCATAAGGAGACATAGATGATCCATTGAAGAGAGAAGATCCATAAGGTGGCACACCCATATACATCGAGGATGGTGCACCAGAGCCTGCATAAGGAGCTGACGATAAGTAGACATGCATGGGTTGTATGGGTTTTGCAGCAGATTTCTGAAAGATAAGAAGAAAAAAAAATTGGTTTAAAGAATTCAATAATATAGTAGACAGAAAAAATAAATTAGCTACAAAACACCACCAATCCATGAAACATGTTGATCAACCATGATAAAGCAAAATGAAGATGGCAAGCAAGGATGATGTGATGAAAGTATATACAGACTGAAGAGCTGATAAAATGAAAACTTCGACCAGACAGGACATTAATGAGAATTAAAGCAACCAACAAGCTAGATATAACTAAAAGACCTCATAAATATGTTCAGGGTAATGTTCACACATATGATTAACATGTCTGCCATTGTGACTTAAAAGAGAACTTTTAATCTTACAAAGAACACTGTGAAAGCATTAAGTTGCCTATTAAATAACAGATCTGGATAAATATGCAAAATTAAAGTACTTATCAAAAATGACACATGCATATTATAACATGAATCTCTACACAACTCCTATAAGGAACTTTAAGTGAGTTAACTGATTCATGGGTAGTTAATATCACATCGAATTTCAGATCTTACTGAGTTGTAATTTGCTGGCCTCGATTGAGTACGGTTGTGCATATTGCAAGTCGTCCTAAATGAAAATTTGACATTTCCACAGCTAGGGCAGGTCCAGTCATCTTCCTTGCGACTGCCTACAAACATAAAGGAATTAACAAATGGGTCGCAATCATAACTTCTGAAATGAGATATATCAGAGCCAATTATTGATATAAGGAGTAAAAAAAAATTTGATAATTATTCCATCTTTCAGGAGTCAATTTCACAAAGCATGATAACAAGCACCACACAGACCTAAGCAAAAAACATGAAAAAATAATGTGCACAAACAAAGCTTTTACTTGCGTTTGGATCAGCATCAAAACATCAATTAGAACACATCAATTGTTTTGTTAATAAAACAATTAAAAGCTACAATTATTCACTAATTTCCAACACCAAATCACATCATGTCTTAATAGATTTAGAAACGTGAGAAATTAAAAATTAGTGAACAAATTCATTACCTCTTGGCATATCTCTGCCCACTATCCAAAATTCTTGAAACAAATTCCCCCAACCCCCCCTCCAAAAAGAGAAATTATATCAACTTAGCAGTACAAAGGGGAGAACACATATATCTATACATCATTTAGCACATATGGATACATATATGCATACAAAGGGGAGAACACATAATTTATTTGTTAATTTCTATAAGGCTGAACCCATAAGTGGTGGTTATAAGAGCAATGTTTTGTGTATTTTCGTACTAAACATGTATTTAATGTCAACATATATAACCTCTTTGTCTCTGCTGAAAGAGCAGCAACAAACTGTCAACTCTGCTTCCAGGCACCTTGATAGGATTTCCACATCAATGCAGCATGCTTCATCTGAAATAAAAAAATTAAAAAAAAATAAATAAATAAACAACTTAAAAAGACAATCAATGGATTCAACTGCATAAAATCAAAGTGGTATTCAGTCTACACATGATTCTGTGTCTACACATGATTCTAGCTACATTTTTGAACAAAAAGGGGGAATAATAATAATAGGACCACCCATGTGTAGCAGCTTGAAAAACAAGGAAACTCAGAAAACATACCAAGATGCAAGTTTATCAATTTACATGGGAACTACACCAAAATGATTATTAGAAGAGTTAGAAAGCAAGAAATGCCAAAATGAGATTCCAAAAAAAGGAAAAATAATGGACTAGAGAGAGACAAAGCAGATCTGATATTACCATGTTAGCAGATTGTAGAGAGAGAGAGAGAGAGAGAGAGAACAGATCTGATCGAAGAGAGAGCAGATCTGCATCTCTTCATCGTTGAGCTTCTACTCACTGTTTCCAATGATCCACATGCTAATTCAACATAATGTGGTACTTACACGTATCATACTGACTGCACCAGTTCCCAAACGTATCAGGCTATCAACGTCTTATATATATTTTTTTGGTCCAAACTAATTAGGCATATTGAAATGTCACAATTTTAAGGAAAAATTATTTATAAATCCTACTAGGAGAACTTTTTTAATATGAAATCCTGTGTAGTTTCTTATAAAGTTGTAAGTCCTATTTAAATTGGAAAGTATTCTATAAAGTCCTATGCATTGTGATTAAATGGTATTAGTGTACTATTATACCCTTTATATGTTTCCATATTATAAATTATTCTATCATTTATCCTATTTCCCATTTGGAGACTTTTACGAAAGCGTAATATGTATGCGCAATCCATTGGAGTGAATGTCGCATTGATCACAGATTTCGATGGATTTTGAAAATGTTGCTGGTTTGGATCTAGATATAGGTGATGTTATCGTCAAGGTTGCGGGTGGTGTTATTTGCTTTTGCCAATTTGGACTCCAAGTGTTTGAGGGAAGGAGGTAAGGCTTTTTGCTTCTGATATGGCTTTCACAATCTAGTACAGCCATCCAATGTTAACCCACATATACAATGTGGTTATATATTGCGTGTTATGCTTGGTTGTATTTGCCTTTGGATTTGTGCTGTGTCGATGTTATAGTAAGTGTTTACATACGTGCCATGTTACGTTTCGCAAACTTACTAGTTTTTTAATTTTTTTAATTAAATGTGAAAATGTTACTGGTTTATGAAAAATGGTGCATTCATACATTGACACACTTTCATTAACCTCCAATGACGTAATATTTAGGTTGTAATGTTAACCCACATCTGCAATGTTGCCATGTTTTGTGCGTGTTATGTTCAGTTGTAGTTGTCTTTGAATTTGTGTTGTGACGTTGTTGTATTTAGTGTTTACGTACGTATCACGTTACGTTTCGCAAACTTACTGGGTTTTTAATTCTTTTAATTGAATGTGAAAATATTGCTGGTTTATGAAAAATGATACATCCATACATTGGCACACTTTCATTAGCATCCAATGACGTAACATTTAGGTTGTAATGTTAACCCACATCTACAATGTTGTCATATTTTGTGCGTGTTATGTTCGGTTGTAGTTGTCTTGAATTTGTGTTATGACGTTGTTGTATTTAGTGTTTATGTGTGTGTCATGTTACGTTCTGCAAACTTACTGGGTTTTTGATTTTTTAACATTGAATGTGAAAATGTTGATGGTTTATGGAAAATGGTACAACCATGCATTGACACACTTTCATTAGCCTCTAATGACGTTACATTTAGATTATAATGTTAACCCACATCTGCAATGTTGTCATATTTTATGCGTACTACGTTTGGTTATATTTGTCATTGAATTTGTGTTGTGACGTTGCCATATTCGATATTTCCGTATGGGTCATGTTACGTTTCGCAAACTTAATGGGTATTTGGTTTTTTAAATTGCATGTGAACATGTTGCTTATTTGTGGAAAGTCTTGGAATCAATGTGAATGAAACTTACTGTTTTCATTATATATTATTGAATTCGGAGTTAGATTGTTTATCTGTAAACTAACGTTTTATTGTATTTGTCTTTGAATTTGTGTTGTAATGTCGTCGTATTCAGTGTTTATGTATGGGTTTTCAAATGAATCAACAGTTCACATTATAATAAAGACACAAAACATATTTTATTTATTTTATTTCCTAAAATTTTGCCTAATCAAAGCAAAAATATCCAAATATCACGTGGATTTTGAATTTCAAATTCACAT